TGCTAATCTTATTGATAGAATTGACTCTTACTACGAGTATGTCTAGAACAAGAGAGTAAAAACGAATTACATTTTTATTAAACACTGCCGGAACGAAGTCGCGGGCAACAGCTAGTTAACAATAGTTTTACGTGAGGGTGAATATTAATAATAGTCAAAGTAACGAAAAACAAGATTCATTATTTATTATCTTTAATATCTTATTATCTATTATTTTATTTATTATCTTTTAAATGACATACCAGCTGTATTTGCAAATTTTTTCCACGCGGTGGCGCTGATAAACTTTGATTTGTAGTCTAGAATGCTACCTAGGAAGCATTATTGCACCACGTGGGAGCGACGCGAAACAGTCGTGCATCTGTGACTGTGATCTATATAGGTATACTAACAACACCTGTCCTAGGCAAAGCTGCCCCTTACTAATATCAATCAGGTAACCTGTAATTTTCCATCATTTTAACGAGTTTCTCACTGAAACGAAACGCACTTGACGCTGTCGCGATGCGCATATTCATTCGATTCACCTGAACATGTACATCGGGTAGGAATGGACGGAATGTGCATCGGTAGCACAAACGGTTCCATGCCAGCTACACCAGAGGGTACAAACTCGTCAGCTGAGACAAACACGACAGAGGATACAAACTCCTCGGCTGATTCAAATTCGCCGATTGTTACGACGCCAACGACCAGCGAAGAGAATGCATGTGCTCTGCCTGAGCGCTGCCACTTAGACAGCGACAGTACGCAGAGCGATATCTTGGAAATTGTCTTGTCGCCGAGGAAGTCGTTTTGTAATCTCTCTGAGCAGCCACCAATCGGTGTCTACTGGGATATTGAGAACTGCCAGGTGCCAAAAAACAAGAGCGCCGCCGGAATCGTCCAGCGTGTCCGCGATGAATTCTTCGAGGGTCACCGACAGGTTGAATTTGTTGTTGTTTGTGATGTCTGGAAGGAGACTGCACATGTTTTGAATGACCTGCAGGATGCACAGGTACGAATTCCAAGCATTCATGCATGTATCTGAAACAAATCAATGATTATCTATTTCTTATCTCAGGTGAATGTGATTCATGTCAAATCAATTAGCAAAAATGCAGCTGATGAGAAGCTGCGGCAATCACTGCGACATTTTGGCAATACGTACAAGGCGCCTGCCACTGTCGTGCTGATCTCAAGTGATATTAATTTTGCGTCTGATATATCCGATCTGCGATACTGCAAGCAATTGCATATTATTTTAGTTCACAATAAGAATGTTTCAAAGGTACTGAAACGCTATGCGCATGAGACTTATTTATTTACCGATCTTACGGATACTTTACCTATGGTTGCTGTTAAGGTAATGTTAAATTTTAGCAAACAGATCAGAAATTAATCGAGATTCGTTTTGCAGACGCCTCAGACTGCCGATATTTATGTGAGTAATTTACCAAATGGGTACGAGAAGAAGTTGTTGAAGAATCGGCTCAAATTTCTTTCGGACAACTGCGGCGGACGTGTTGTTGCGGTTGATCCGGAAACAGGCACTGCTGTCATTCGTTGTTCAAGTTTGCACGTCGCAATCAGGTGTGTAACACAATTCACGATTACTTTCGAAGTTTGAATAAACGTATTATGCATGTTTTTGACATTAATGCATGACATGACTTTGACCGTTTGCACACGTTCGAAATCGTGATTTTTGATCAAAGATGGTGGCAGATTTGGTCAGTAGTAGTGTGGTCTCCACCTGAGCAACATGTGATATCGTCACGCACGAACAATTTACAAATTATTTATTTTTTTATTTAATTATTTATTGTACATTTATTTATTTTGTGGTGCTAAGCGCCTTTTTAATTGTACGCTCGTGTTATTTTAAATTGTATGCGCAAGAATGGCTTATCAACTACCAATCAATAGGTAATTTTTCGTTAAAGCCACGTGTTTGTTGCAAAAATATCGCCGGAAACGAACATGTCGATGGGTGCTAACGTTAGATTTCTGCATGTAGGGCCCAGCGGCGGCTCAATGGCGAAGATGTCTACGGAAGAAAAATTGTCGCCAGCGCAACTGAACTTCCGAACGGTTTGAACAAAAGTCAGGGACGTAAAAATAGCAAATACTTCTACTCCAACGATTCCAATTCAAGGCCCAATCAGGTATTGTTCATATTTTGCGTTCGTTTAACTTGGTTTAACATTTGTATGTGCACAGGGTTCTAGTCGTGGGGATTGGCGTAGTCCGTTGAATCGGACGCCCGACTCCCAAACAAATAGCCTCAACTGTGATCGCTCCTTGCTGCCAGCAAACAATAGCGTCGAACTGATTATTTCTAATCTCGACACGAATATACGTGATCTCCGCATGACGCTGTACAATCACCTGAAGCAATACGGCACCCTTCATAGTATTTCGTTGAACTATCACGATGTAAAGCCATCGGCGGTGGTGAAAGTGGCCAATCGGCAGGATGCAGAGTTTATCATTTCGAAGATGCACCGCCAGAAGGTAGGCTCTCGGCGTATCTCGATCGCGTACGCCCGACCCAGGGGCGGCGATGACGATGAGCTAAAGGAGCGCATCGTTTACCTGCTGAAAGAGTCTCCCACTAACTCAATTCCTTTGTACCTGCTTCTTATTACGCTTGAGACCAAGTACCTGATGCACGTCTCTTTGCATGAGATTACGAAACTGCGCGATGTCTGTCAGATTGTCGAGGAAAACGGCGAGCGCCTCGTGACACTCACACCAGAGGTGCTTGCCAATGTACCGGCAAATCTACAAAAACCGCAACAGATGCATTATTGCTGCGTGCACTGCCCGAACGGCATCACAGACATCACAGTCTGGCAGCCAGACGTGTATCAGCCACCGTGCGTGAACATGTCGCTGAAAGAGTTCAGCCGAAAGTTGAATAAAATGCTTACATCACACATGGGCACGCTGCCATTGTTGAGCTTTACAATTTGCTATAGTTACGAGTTCGGCGAACCGTTGCTCACCAACGGCGTGGACGGTGTACCATTGGAACATCTCGTCACTTGCGTTTCCAATGTCACCATTAAGTATGAGAATGCGAAGAATAAAGCTAAGTACATTGTATGGGAGATGGCTTTGAAGCCTGATGACTCCGAAAACTTAAGTTCCTCACCATTGGCGAGCAGTATTTATCTTTTGCGTCGCGAATTTGTTGATCTCGTGCACCATGAGGCAAGATGCCAGATACCTTTAGGTAAATTTGTTCCTGCTTATCATCATCACTTCGGGCGACAGTTGCGTGTTGCCGATTACGGCTATACCAAGCTGGACGACTTGCTGCACAGCCCGCATTTATCAAAGGTTGTGCAGATTCTTGGTGAAGGCTCAAATCGAATTTTGACCCTCACGCACTCCGCACAGATGCGGCGCTTCATCAACGATCTGCAGCGCGTGCTTAAGACGCAGATTTCGAAAAGTATCACTCTGAAGGAGTTCAACGAGATTTACTTGAGTCTTTTTCGTAAAGATTTCGCCGCGCATGATTACGGACTGTGCTCGATTGAGGATCTCCTGGATGAAATGCCAGATCATGTTATTACCTTGGATCGGTCTAGTCAGGAACTTACAATGGGTATTCCACGGCGAGCACGTACTTCCGACGAAATCTTTCGCACCAAACAATTTTCGGCTGATGTAATATTATTGAAATTTCTCGAATTACTGCTTTCATTGCAATATTATTGGATTTTTTCTATTTTCACAGGTGGTAAAACTCTTGTCACATTCGCCGAACAACTCGATTCTTTTCGACAAATTTGTCCCGCACTATCATCATCACTTTGGATACCAGTGCAAGGTGTCTGATTATGGGTTCACGAAGTTGATTGAATTGTTTGAGGCGATTCCGGAGACGGTGAAGGTGGAAGAGTTGCCAAATTGCAATCGCCGAATCAGCCTCACTGCCGAGCAGTCTCTGAATTTGCTCGGCAATCGCCTTGTTGATTTGATCAAGAAGTCTTCCGGTGGTTATTTGTTGCTGGACCAACTTGCGCACACCTACATGCAGGAGTACAAAGTGCCGCTGACTCCACAGCTATACAACTGCTGCGAAGTCAAGGACGTCATTGATAAACTGACCGAATTTGTCACACTTACGCACAGCCATACCGGCCAAATTCTCACGATTGCCGTGAATTCTGTGATTCCCGTACAAAAAAATGTGTATTCTACGTTCGCGCTGCGCGTCTGGAGTCTGCTGGTTACCCCGCCGCATCAATGCGAAGCACACAAGCTTATCTTTCGTTATTATATGCGTTTTCATACAACTATTACAATCGCATACTTGGAGCATTTGGATAATATTATCGTAAGTTCAAATTACCGTTTATAAATATAAATAACTTTATTTCATCATATTATATCTTTACAGATTACTCGCGCATCCAATACAGAGATTACCGTTTCCTTGGTTCCACATTTTATTAAAGTTGCTAGATTCTACCAGTTGTTGCGCGCCCATGGTGGGCAGATGCCATTCAGCCACTTGGGAAGCTGGTATCAAACCGAATTTGGTGAGAAACAACCCGATGAGAAGGCGTACGAAAAGTTCCTCACCGACTGCAGCTTTCTATACGTGTTGAGCCGCACACGCAAGAAGAGTGTGGTGGCGCTGAATCCGAAACTTAGCGAATTGCACCTGCCGTTGACCCAGGATGCGAACAGCTGCGATTCGGCACACTCGTTCTGGCCGGCGGAGCCATCCAGGGCGCTGGTGCAAGCTGCCACGAAATACTCACCTCCGAAGCCGGATTCACCGCCCCCGGTCAACGGCAACGAACTGCTTGCATGGCAACCATTGCAGCTAACGCCTACTGCCGATATGGAGTTTTTTATCTCGCTCCCACAGCCGGATGCCCCAAAGAATCTATCTTATTTCAATACGCTTATTTCACCATCGAAGACTCTACTGCCAGCACATCCAATGGGCTCAATAATCTCAGCCTTTCCTTCCTCACCGGATGCCAGCGAGCTGCCAAATCCGGACAAATTGATTAAATCAGGTAGGTTTGTCAGAAATATTCCACCACAATTGATTAATGTACTAAATACATTTTTCTAGTCGTGTGTTCCGATGATTCCGGCGATTCGGGTGTGAACAATTCGCATTTTGCGTCCGCTGACGAAATGGACGTTTCGTATGATCAGAATTCCGGTGCGAGGTCGAAGAATTCTCGCACAAATTCCGACTACACCGTGCAGCACCCTTAAAGCTGAGAGCGTGAGCATGCATTTCAACTTTACGTTTTCAAATAAATCCTCATTTGTTCTCTTGTTTCACTCAACGTATTCAATATGCATTGCGGGGTTACAATGCTGATATTTGAACACAGTTCGAGTTAGATCTAGTGAGGCCACACATTCTTAAGCATTTTATTTATAAAACCGAAAAAAGAACTGAAGAAATAAGTTAGGGCTAAGTTAAGAGAATAAATTGATCAACTTGTTCATAAGTTGAAAGTTGGAAATGCGACTAGGATACTCAGAAAGTGAAAACATTCCATACGAATGTGTAGTTATATTCAAACTGTGATGTTTCCTACCATTAAGTCACCAAAGATATATTTTCACAAATTGCAATTAATTTCATGTGTGCCATAATGAGTATTCAAAGATGTAATTAATCTCGTTGCGTTTATTATCTGCTAATAATTTGTATGTTGTTCGTTATGTTGTGCTCTTTTAAAATCTTATATTCATTGAAATTCTAGCGATTCTCACATCTTTTTCAATGATTGTCGATTTTAAAAACATACATAAAGAGAATGAAATTTTAATCATTTGTGCATTATTCTGCGTCCGCGTATGTCAATCCAGGTTGCCTCTAGGTTGCTGAAAGCATGCAGATAATTAATTTAGATACTTGTTACCAAAGTGAAAAAAGCATATACGAATGAGAATTCTTCAAGAATTTCAACCCTACTGGGGGTATTTTATCTTTTGAGAGACCACCTAGATTATTCCACTACTACTAATTTTATATTTATTCTGACTTCTCAACCCAAATTTCTTAGAAATCTATTACATTGAAATATTTTTTGTTATTACATAGCTTGAAAAGTAGATATATACCGCATATATATTTTAATACCAATTTGTTATAACTGTAAGCTCTTGTATTATTATAGCTAATAAAGTTTGTACTTTTGGATATATTCGATTGTTTCAGTTACAGATTGACATAATTAGCTGTTACAAAGTGTATCGAACGCTGCCACTGACATTTGAAAGTCTTCTTCCCGATTGAGGAATATGCCTTGAAACACTTGCGCGAATTTCGTACTCACATCGTCGTCTACCTGATATGAGTCGTACAGTTTCTGGAATAGAACTTCAACATGTTTATTATATTCTATAATCCGGTTTGCCTGTTCCTGTATCGTTGGTATGTCGCTCTCATGATCCTTCCAGCTTGTTTCGCGAAACTGTTCACACAAATCACCGAGACGTTCTGAGATTATCTCCGAAGTCTTTAGTTGATCACAAGTGCCATTAGGCAGTTCGGAAAATAATTCACACAGGCCCTCGTAGTTTTCGTTCATTGCGCCGTTATTTTCGTGAATGAGCTTATCGGATGTGACAGATGTGGAACTGTTTGCGCTTATGAAACTCTCCGCATCCACACCGTCCTCGTATCTATTTATATTGTTATCACATTCCGAACCATCAGATTGTGATTCATTCAAAATTAGCGGTGGTATATCCATGTAGTAATTCTCCACACAACGCAGAATGGAATTATCTGTTTGCGGCGGATAAGTTGCCTTCAATGATGTGGCGCTGAAAAAACATTCATCACCGTGCATGGAACTCGAGGAGTCGTCATCATCATCATCATTATATTGACTTGCGTTCTTATCTTTATCATTCCGCATGTTTTTCTGAATTCCGCTGTTCCTGGCAAAGATGCGTTCAAAATCTGCAACGTTTTTCTTCACTACATCATGAACTACTGTTTTTGAAGATGGCCACGGGGCTTGATGGTTTTCAAATTTGGGCTTCTGGGGTGCAACGTCTTCAACTGTAAGACGTTTCCAACCGCTTTTCAAGTCTGCACTTTGCTTGCATTCAAATTGTTTAATTAAGGCCAATACTTTTCGATTTTCTGCAGTACTGAACATGATCATGAGTTTATCTTGATCTTAGGAGTGCCACCTACTCCTAACTACTCCTAATAAATTTAGTTAACGCTGGATGATTATGAAGGAACAATAAATAATGCGAAATGTCTATTTAGGGACATTTTGACTTTGGTTTTTTTTTGTATACCTGTAATTGATATAATAAATGTAGGCAGCGTTGGATTTTTTCTCGGTGTTTATACTCAATTTCACTGCGTACATTGTTCTGATTTTTACACAGTTTATTTCTACGAGAATGTATTTATTAGTTTATGGATTACTGCCTGTAATTTTAGGCGTGATATCCGTTGGATTACTCTTGGGATACTTGACGTATAAAATAAGTGAGTACATTTAACCATTTCTACTGCTACAGCATAGAAGATATTGTATTTTCAGTATCGAAAACGGGCCTTGCTTGTGCACGGGTGCAGGCGAGTTTAGCGCGTCTGAATGCAGTTGCTTCCGATCACAACGAGTATGTGGGAATGGAAGGGGACGGGGCCCCGAGAGAAGATGTCTCCGAAAATGTCGCCTTCTTTGAGCACGAAGTCGTCTTTCAGTGTCGTCGTAAGAGTTCGCAAAACGCTAATATAACGTGTTTGTGTCAGTACGACCAACCATTCCCCATCTTCCCGACTCAGCGCAAAAAGATATTGACTAAATTGTGTATCAGGACCGAAAACGTGTTTATGTTGGGGGCATGTATCGTTTTGGCCGGATTGCTGTACAACGAGTTGAAAAAACCCGACATGTCGAAATGGGAATGTTACAAGAGATTGATTTATAACTCGTTGTGGCAGTTCTTTGATTATTGTCGAAGCTGCCTTAGAAGGATGACTTCGGTAATCTAACTCTTTGCGAACATTTCATTCGAAAATTTGGGGCCTGCTAACGACTTATACGACAATAAATGAATTTATAATTGAAAGCACCTTATAACTTATCGATGAGATCACGATTGGCGTTGTTTACATGTTGAATGATATTAGAATATCTTATCATCGGTGTTATCTTATTACTCAGGTCTCACACACTTACTTGTTGTATGTTTGTCAGTATCATTGCAAGTGTCTACTTGTAAGCTGATTTACTAGTTGTTCTCAAACAGTGCACCACACCTTGTCTTGTGGCATCATGATGCGACCGAAGGTGATGAACTTAATTCAAAAATTCGAGAAGTTATCAAACGACATGGTGAAACCCAAACCACCTGTGGTGCGACAAAAGTCAATACCAGCTTATGTGGAGCCGCTTGAGGTACCGCCGGTCAACCCGGTTCAATCCGGTTGGAATCATAAACCTCTCGTGGAAATTGAGAACAGAATCAGGCGGCTGAAGAAGTCACTGAAGCAAATTGTTCCAGGAGATGAGAAAATGGTCCTGGCTGAGTTCGTGGAAATGCTGGATTTGCTCATTCAACTCAGTAGTATCGATACGGACGGTTTGAAGGCGTTGAAAGTGAAGAAGGACTGCTGTTTGGCGGAGCTGAAGCAGGCGAAAAACGATTTGACAGAATTGATAGCAAGCGACGGTAATGCGCTGAGTGGACCTATGCAAGGCAAGTGCATTTTATTATGTAGAACTTGAATATATTATAATACAATACTTGTTTATTGTGTGTATTAGTATTACGAAGCAATTCTACTGCAATTGACGCTGCAGACTCCGACGATGACTCATCACCAATTCGTAATGCCCAAATGGATAATCCTGATGATAACGCGTTCATAAAAACAGGTGTGGTTAATTCTATGACTAAACAATTTGAAAGCGACCACGATATCAGCGCTTCCAGCACGAAGTCAAAAAGCGACACCAACATTACTTCAAATTTAAACCACGTAGAAACTACTTCAGATGTAGAATGCGAACCTACCGAGTGCAACAATACGCGTCAAATTTCCCAGCATGATTTAAGCAGCGAACTCGCCTACTACAAGGATGTGGTACCTTCTTTGGATCCGGAAGATTTTATCAAAATTGAATCCATCAAAGAGCATCTACAAAAACTGATGATTTCAGCTGAGAGTTGCAATGAAATCCAAGAAGAACTGGCAAAGTTATTGGAACAAATTGAAGTTCTGTGCGCCGCAGTGCCCCAAATTGATGAAAACACATCTCCAATTAGTGAAACTTCTTTTGAGGATGCCTCCGAGTCAAACACGAGTACATTATTGGATTTACAAACACGGTGCCAGGAATTTCTGCGTTCCGAACAAGCCTATGTTGATGTAAAATGTCAAAAGTTACCCGAAATTATTGATAATGATACTGATAACAGGACAGGAGATAATATTCAAGTGTTAGATATTAATATTCCAGGAAATAATCGCTTAACCGAGTCTATGGTTATGATCGAAACATATAAGATAAAAATACAGGACTATTTGAAGCTTCCTGATATCGAATTGTTGGAAAAGGAAGGCCTTATCGAGGAAAACATTACAGCCATTACTAATTTCTCCCCCCACCCAATTGTTGCACAGCAACTGGAAGAACTTCTAAGCAGTTATAAAGAGCTGCTCAACTTTATTATGGAGACAAAATTTTTGACGATTTTTAATGAAACCATTGATGACGATAGCCCGAACAGTGAAATTCCAGTAAATATTGATACGTTCCATGCACTATGTGCGGAAATTCGCAATTATTATCCGCACATTGAAAGGCTTCCGGAATCGTCACCGGCACAGATCGAAGTGCTTAAGGACAACTTATTGCAGGTGACTGAAGAAATATTCAATTTTGATGTGAGTTTCAGTGAAGAGTTAAACATAACAAAAGAGAAGGCTTTAAAAGAATTAGATTCCATGCTTAGTAAATTAATGTAAATTGTTACGCCGATTGTCAATGTATATTATTTTTTTGTTATACCAAATATTAATTAAAGGTACGGGTTTGCGGGTTAAATTTATTTTCAATTGTTATTCGACCTACTCCAAAATGCAAACGGAGCAAATTCAATTTTCATTTACTAATGGATATTGGACATTATCTAGCCTCATGTAGACTTGACTTACGGTATTTGTGTATAAAATCGCAATTCATTGAGATTGGGTGGTGCATGCACACTTTCGCGTACATGTGTCACACGGACACTCCACTTAAGTGCATGCCCACTCACTGCCTCATAAACAATTGCGCACTGCTACGCCTGCGCGCCAAAGAGTTTGAAACACTTTGTACTTGCATGAGGTACCATAAAGTGTCCTTAGATGGCGCGACAAAGCAGGCTTATCTTAAAATAAAAGATGCCCTTCACACATTGGTCTTTCAACCCAAATAACTTACTGAAAGTACCCAAAAATTCATATCTCTTAAACTAAAAGCGACAGCGACCAACGAATCGCTGATTATGAAACATTGGAAAATTGTCTATCAGATAAAAATTAAAAATAATTATATTTCCCACAGTAAAAGGTCGAAAAACGCGACTAAAAGTGCTAAAAAGTGACATTTTTCGATTTTTGCCCATTTTATTGAAATGCGAATATCTCGTAAACTTAAAGAGATATATAGGTACAATTCGCAGAGAAAATTCTACGGACTTGATACTTCTTTTCGACGATTTTTGAAAATTCATATCTCTTAAACTAAAAGCCAGAGCAACCAACGAATCGCTGATTATAGAAGACTGGAAAATTCTGTACCAGATAAAAATTTAAAATATATATAT